GCCCTTATCTGTAATTATTTTCATTTTGGGCCCTTATTTGTAATTATTTTCAATTTTGGGCCCTTATTTGTAATTTCTCCTAAAATTTAACCCTTACATATTTTATAAATTATTACATATTATTAAGTAATTTAAGAGTTATCGATTACCGGTCACCGAATATGTTCCATGATCTGCGATATCATATGATTTAAAAAATAAAAAAATCCACCCCCTAAATTTAGCATTATTGCTATATCATTTATTTTTTTATTTAACTATATTTTAAACTGTTAGTAAATTAATTGTTTGGATATTTATTTGATATATGAAATTTTACATTATATAAAGGTTATTTAATATTTCTTTAAAACAATCTTTTTTTATATGACAATTTTATGATGAGGTTTTCTGAAGATTTTTTTTCTAAATCAATAAATTCTTATTAAACAGTTTATTTTCAGAATATTATAATAAGCATTAACAAATTTTGTAAAAAGACATGATAGATATAATAATAAAAAATAAGGTTTACAAGTTACAAATTGTAATTCAAAATATTAATGGTTCATTATCAGTTATAACCAGCCATTATAACTTGTTATATAATTAATCAGTTCAAGTTCAATTAAGAAAATTTGATTAAATATAAAATACGATCATATTACTCAAACCGATGCCTAACTCTGGTGACACAAATAATCTATACACTTCTATATTTGTAATTCTTGACCAATTACTATCGCAAGATTTTTTGGCAGCATACTGCTGCGGTAATTTGAAATTATTTAAACAATGCGTGACTATTGTAGGTTCATAAACTCTATTCAGGTTTATTATAATTAAGCGCAGCATTGAAAAACTGCTCTTAAGATAGATTAAATTACATACATTGCAGTTATTAGGAGGGTAATGAGCTATCAAATTATATAAATAAATTTTTAAAATAACCTGTTATTTTGAATTATTCAAGCATGCTTATAGATGTTATTTGGATATCAGATCGATGTTTCTAATCATAAAAGATCTTCACGTTCTGCAGCGATAATAATATACAAGCCTTTAATATAAATGATTAAATTCTTGGAAGAGCCAAGATACTAAATTGAATCGCATAAAGATGGCATCAAAAAGTTTAATAAATCTTGATGTTATTTATACTATTATTGCACCCGTTTATTTAAGTTGAAGCTATATACAATTTCAAATATCACAGAAATAAATAATTCTAATAACAGATCTTATTAATGGTATTGATATCATTATAGCAAAATGAGATCATTGCTAACTTTTCTTTAGAACAAATCTTTATATCATCACCAAAAATAACTAACAAATTTTTATTGTTATGAATTGAATTTTTTTCTTTTTTTTCTTTTTTTCTTTTTTTTTTTTCCTGTTTTTTCGTTTTTTTTTTCTTTTTCTTTTTTTCTTTTTTTTTCCTTTTTCTTTTTTTTTTCTTAAAAAAAAACTTTGGCATGGGACACTGTTAGCATACAATATCTACCTATTGACGATTCACTATGACAGTGGGATCCTATTTTAAAATAATATTGATATGTGAACCTTTAGAATGAGACAATTTAAAATATTATTTTAAATAGTACAAGCCTATACCATTATTATAGTTTACATATCAGGATAAACTTTTTTTTTGTTGTAGCGATTATTATCCCAGTATACCCGAACACGTTGCATATTCCAATAATTATTTTGTTCTTGAAGTTGTTTTGAAATTTTAATAACTTCATCTTCAGGGAAGGTATCATATTTAAGTATACCTTCAAGAAGTTTTTTTCATTATCATTTATAATCCTATATTGATGCTTGGCATCTGTTTGTTTATCTAATTGACCAGTGCTTACATTATCACTTTCGATCAGATTTTCTTGCGGGCTGTTATTTTTTGCCCTTCTTTTTGTATTAATGAATTAAGTTTGTATACTACATTGTGACTTTTGCAACTTTCTGGATTCCTTCGTTCAGTCTTGTGTTGTAAAATTTCCTGAAAGTGAAATATCCCAAGATTGTAACTTAAAAATATAATAGAAAATCCTGTTGGTGTCATTTCTGGTGCATACATGAAAATTTCATGCATTATTGGGTTCAGAAGAAAGTAAGTGGTATTTGTTAACTTTCATACTTTAATAGTAACCAGATCACCCATATATTCAAACATCAACAGCTCTAATCGTTCTTTTTCTGCTTGTGCAAAACTGATTTGTAGCTTCAATTCCTTTGTATCTACTATCTTGTCACCGATATTTTGTTTTACAAACCAGACCCAAAACGTTTTAATACTTTATCAAAGCTGAAAAAGTATTCAGGTTGGGTTGAATTAGCAGAACAAACATTTTGAAGTAATTCTTGGAAATGCGGTTCCTCATTAATATAAGATAAAAAGTGGGTTACTAAATTAGAATAATTGAAGATCTTAATGCCAATAGCAACCCAAATTAACTCCAAGACTCGAGTGACAGCCTGGTAACCTACAAAGCATTCGAGTATATCTGAAAACCAAACTTTAAGCCTTACAGCTATATTGGTAGCTTTTTTTTTACCCTTATCAGCAGTTTCAGCTATAGCATTTTCCAATTTGACAACCAAGCTAGTATCTTTTTCATATTCTTCTAGCATATAATTGAAACTATTAAGGACCAATGTATCAGTATTATGGCATTTTGTATTTGTTGCCATTTAAAAAAAAAGATTTGATAAAAATAAAAAAAAAAAAAAAAACTGACAAAAAAAAATTGACAAAAAAAAAAAAAAAAAACTGAAAAATAAAAAGCCAATGGTCTAAAGCAGTGGCCTAATATTAATTGAACTTTGTTTAAAAAAAAGGAAAAGAAAAAAACAATTCAAATAAAAAAGTTTCCCATGTTATCATTATCGTTATCGTTATTGTACTCTCAACAAAAATTGGTAACTTTGACCTAAAATTCTTTTAAAATTAGAGGCGCCACAGCACGTTAAACAGGATGGTTCGCAAGAAAAAATGTAGAGCTTGCAAGGTTATGTATCATAAGGATACCGTCATAGAAGTGAAGTTCACTTTTACAATAATTTCCTATATAAAAATGGGTGCAGATCCTCTGTTATTGTTATTTATTTATCATTATTTTCAGAGGCTTAATTCAAAATTGAGGTTTAAACTGATAAACTTAAATATACAAAATTGGTTCAAAAAAATTACTGTTTTAAAAAACAATCTACAAGAAAATATAGATTTAAATAATATAGCAGAATATTTTATATGATAAAGGTACTAACAATAAGGACAAATTTTTGCTTTGATATCAACTATAATGATAAGAGATGCATGAACTGGATGCCGATTTCTTAATTGAAACATTTGCAAAAACTTTTTGACTATTACCTAAAGCAACTCTTGTGTAATGATATCTGGACATCCTTAGGATAATAGCTTAAAGACTGGGAGGTTTGCTATTTATCATAAATTAAGAATGTATTTGCAGATCGAAAAGGTTTGGTTTGCAAAATAAACCCTTGCATGTTTTGTAAATACACAAGGGCATTATAATATTTTTATTTTTAAAATAAAACACAAGTGTTATATCCAATACTGCAGTTATGCAGCCCAACCAACCATTGTTATGATAAAATATCGAAAAATAAAATCAACTTGATGCACACATCAATTCGTAACAAGAAAAATAAGAATACCGATACTAATTATATAAACTACATGTATTGTTAATATTCATGTCAAGTTCATTAAAACTTCTTTAATTGAGCCAAAAAAACCACCCAACATGTGATCACTATCTGAATCCAAAACTTCATACTATCATTTGCATTCTGAATTCAAAAATGATCATAATCGCTTTTATTCCAAATGTGGATCAAATTTAAAAGTTGCCTTTGAGACAGATTAAATGATATATATTAAAATTACTAAAAGATAATATGCAAAGTTATTACCGTTGACCACTGCTTACAGTATTCTCTAAAAATAATACTACATGATTAAGACACGGGTATTACTGTCCTTACTAGCCTATTTTTTTGAATAAAACTTAGAAGCATTACTATTAATTTATTATTTTTAATATAATTTATCGCATTAATCAGAATTAACTTAACAAAATATCAAGTATTCAAAGATCGAATGAAATACTCACTCAGCTTACGTTAATCCATTTATATTTTAAAAATTTTGTAGTAAAATAACAGACACCTTATAACCCTGATATAGTATCTAGTTCACAGGTACTGTAAGCAATGGCCAATGGCAAATATATTAAAATTACCTTTATATTGTTTAAATAATACTGATACTACTAAAAATTCTATTTTAAATTTTATTGAATATATTAAAAAAGGTTAATTGAAGTATGATAATAATAACAAGACAATAACACTAAATTTAATACCTACAATCGCTATAAAATAACTATCCTTTAAGTTTAAATCTAAAGGCCTGAACAAGTTTAACCCTTGAACAATAATCTAATCAAACAAAGAAAATTTATTTTGCTTCTTAATAAAGCAAAAACACAATCAGATTACCTTGAAGTTTTTCCTTATTACTCAAAATCAGCATTATCACATTTGATCGTTTACTTTAATTGAACTTATTATAATTTTGTGGCCAAATAGAATTATAAGGTTTTGAAAGTTAAATCAATTTTGCATACTATAAATTCACTATAGAAAGATAAAAATTCATAAAATCTATACCATTGATTTACACATCAAAAGAAACTTTTTTCTTTTGTTGTGGCAATTGTTATTCCAGTAAATTCGAACACATTGCATGTCCTAATCATTACTTTGTTCCTGAAGTTGCTTTAAGATTTCGGTAGCTTTATCTTCAGGGAAGGTATCATATTTAAGTAAATCCTCAAGAATTTTTTTTTCATTATCATTAGTAACTCTATGTTGATGCTTTGGACCTGTTTGTTTATCCAATTGCCTGGCATTTACATTGTTATTTTCAATCTGACTATTTTGTAAATTGCTATTTCTTGTTAGTTCATTTATTTGCATTCTATTTTTTTGGTGTTATGATAGTGAAAGCAGTTTGTGTACTACTATGTTGCATTTTTTACGGCCATTGTATTTCTTGGTTCAACCTTATATACATCCTGTCGCAAAATTTCTTGAAGACGGGCTACTCCAAGATCATAACATACATATATATTATTAAATCCTGTTGACATTATTTCTGGTGCATATTTGAAAATTTTATGCATTTTTGGATCTGGAAGAGAGAGAGCAGCGAACAATTCATTTGCTAATTTCCATAGAGCTTCTTTTCTTGATAGTATAGCTCTTTCTTCTTTAATGATAACTATATCTCCCATGTATTCAGAAATCAACAACTCTAGTTGTTCCTTTTCTGCTTGCACAGAACTGATTTGAAGCTTCAATTCTTCTGAGTCTACTATTTTACCTCCAATGTTTTGTTTTACAAACATAACTCCAAAATGTTCCAATGCTTCATCAAAAGCAAAGAAGTATTCAGGTTGGATTAAATTAACAGAGCAAATGCATTGAAGTAATTCTTGAAGGTGTGGATCATCATCAATATAAGATAAAAAATGAGTTACTGAATTAGTGTAGTTAATTTTGCCTACAACTGAAAAGAGAGGTGCAAATGCTATAAGATTTTTATTTGCATTTCATAGTTGCCTTGACGAATACTAATCTTGTGTCCAATCCAATAGCCAATCCAACAAAAGTAACGGTAACAAACTCTGAGTACATCGTTCTGACTATTTTCAATATTATTCATTCTTTGATTTGTGTTGCGCAAATATTTACAAATTGCAATGCCAATAGCAACCCAAATCAATTCCAAAACTCAACTAGTAGCCTGATAGTCCATGACACTTTCAAGTTTATCTAAAAACTGAACTCCAAGCTTTACAGCCATACTGGCGATACTATAACCTGAAAAAATATTTATCAATACAATACACATATCTCTTGAAGTATGCTATTGATCTAATAGGGGCCTTGCATCTTTATTTTTCTTCTTATACGAAATCAATCTACGAAATCAATCTACGAAAAATCGCCTGATCGCAAGCTATATCTAAACATCCAGTATTAGATATTCCTATGTTACTATAGAATAAATCAAATACATTATGAACGTTTGCATCACAATTTGGATTGTTTCCAGGACTAAGTATTACAACTTTGGGAGGTGGCACCTGGCATCCAATTAGAATATTTTTAGAAATTTCATTTAGGATTCTTTTTACATCCTAATCCTCAGTACCTGAAGACAAAAGATTCTGAAACACTGTCTTATAAACTTCAAGAAGGTCATGAGTAAAAGGTGATGTCTCAAAAAGAGACTAATTAATTTTTCAAGACCTGCTAATATTTATATGATTTCAACAGCGTAGTTGTATAGGCATTATAAACTGGAAGACCATTCTCAATGTAGCATATGCAGTTCTTTGCACTGCATCATAGATATTTCTATACATAAAAGTCCTTTCTATAAAATCGATATTACCGATAACTAAGACATTCCATATATATTCACTACGCAATAATCTTGTTTCAGGTTTGCCTTATATCGTCGGGCCTTCTCAAGGATCCTTTCATGCTGTTGTGTGTGAGATACTACGTTGGCAATGCAAAGTATATTATACAAAGAATAGTATAGTTTTGGTTTTCTACATAAGGAGCTCATTATATGAGTTAACTATACGTTAATACCTAGAAATACAACATTTAATATCATTAAAATAAGAAACACCGTTATTTTTATTACACGATCCTTATCAAAAGCCTTCAATGGTAAGTTCCTTTGTTGCCTTTTTTTTACAAGAACATCATACTTTTTCCTTTGTAATGTTTCAA